GAGCATACCACGGTAATGCAAACACATAGCAAACACATGTACGGGCTCATGTATTTATGCTTGCGTGCATGTGTAACTGCAAGAACATACATGCCTGTGCATTCACGTGTATACGCATCTACATACACAGCATGATGCATAATGCTACACCTTCGTGAACAGTAACATCAGTAACATGCATAAATGCATTCGTGCATAGCATAATGCTATATGACACAAAGAAACACAATACTCAAAAACCCAGGCCCCATGGCAGGCCGCTCTCTCTCTATATATATATATATACATATAGTGGTTGTGAGCTCTTGTGCTGGCGCACAGCTACCACGGGGCTTCGATGGGCACAGGCCCAGGCCGAAGTGCATTCTGCTTCTAATCTCTCTGCAGAACTCCATAATACCTCCGTCTGCGACATCCTCCCCTGCAGCAGGCGTCCCCGGCGTCCCGCGGCACAGACGAAGCTATAATCCAGAACTCGTTGCAGCAGCGGTGCTCATACTTTCGTGCCAGTGTGTCACGCCTCGACGACCTGCCGGACGCCAGAAGCATCGGAAACTTCAGCAGCGCAACATGTAAGTTAAGGTTGGCAGGCCAGCAGCCTGCAGCGGCAGGCCAACCCAATGTCGGCCATTTCGGCAGTGGAAGGCCAGATCAACCTATGATCTTCGCCGGCAACCAATGGCTCTTGAGTTCGGGCGGATAAACAATTGTCATGGTTGACATGCCAGTCGGCAGTGAGACTTCCAGCCACCAGCCAACCAGTCTACTGTATCCCAGTCTGCCGGGCCCTGCCTTCTGAATGCAGAGTACAATTGCCCGTGTGATGGTGTATTTTGCGTTTTCGCAGGTTGTGCTCTCACAGGCGAAACGGAGAACACATCCAACAAAGACGCAACACCTGCAGCCAGGCCTGGTGCTTGGAGAGCTGCTGTTTGCAATTTGGCTCATGACCTGACATGATGTCGAGCATTCGCTGTATCTGCGATGGAGAAAGCAGCTGGGTTCATGTCAAGCATGTGCATGCAGCAGGGCTTCTGGGCGGTGGTAACGAATGAGAAGGCACCTGGTTTCAGGGCGAAATAATGACAATAATGATAGAATGGCCCCCTTCTTCACTCAAAAGGGGACCTGGGCTGCTGAAGTGGGCGATCCCCGCAACATCAGACAAAAGTTTGCATGAGTTGCCAAACCAGCCACTTGTCTGGAACGTCAGCGGGGACACCTTGCACACGGTGTGTGCCCTTGTTGAGTGGAAGCCCCGTAAGTGATAGCATAATGCTACAGCTCCGCTGTTGAGCCCTTCTGGTGCTCAAATAGATTCAAACAGTAGGACCGTGGCTTTCTTCTTATTCTTTGCTCGCCTTGTCAGCTGCTCGCTTGCTGGCCTAGCGGCCCATCCAACTGAAAGCCGACCAGCAACACCGAAAAAAGGCGGATGAGCGGCTTGGTAATGCGCAAACGTGGTCTTCACTAGCACGAGTTGACATTCTTCGGAAACCCTATGTCTTATGCACAAGGACAGCGCTGTTGACCAGATAAGGATGACCCTTGCTACAGTAATTATATGCAAACCTTGTGACAGAAACCCTCGGCACAGCGAAAGCAACCACAACGTCTTCTGTCTCAAGTCGACTCGAGAAACGCTTGCAAAAGCAAACCGACCATGCTTTTCGGAATTGTTCCAGGTGGCCTGTGCTGTGCGCTGTTGTTTTTTTTCGTTCGTCCGTGCACATCTTGCTTCTCTGTGCTTCCCCGTGTTGCGTTCATGCACGTCTCACCCCACACTTGTCAAGGCCCTGATCATTTTCAATTCAGTCGGCCGGTCGGCGAACAAGACTGAAGCCGTGATGCTCTTAATGGGCTTCGTCAAAGTCGGTGTCTCTTGTCTGTCCTGTTGTGGCTACCTGAAACCTTGCCCGTGCCCCAAACGTGTCAGTATCCTATGTTCATTTTGCTTGTCAGCTCTTTCGTAGTCTTGTCTTTCGACAGCACTAAGCCTCGCAGCTAGCACAGCGCTTGTGACAGCCGGCATCTTCCTCGAATTCTACATGCGAGCTTGCTGATCGAACAGCGTGCTCACTTGTGTTGTGCCTCCCTGTCTCGTCCTCTTGTCGGGGAACTCTTGTCGTCTTATCTCGATCCCTTCTTCGGAGGACACGAAGAAGCTTGGTTTCGGCAAAGCGGTGGTCTGGCGAATTAAGGCGTGGGAGAGGGTCCTAGGATCGGGAACCCAAACTTGCAAGACTGCGGCACACACTTAAACCAACTTGTGCCTCGTACACTGGCTCTGGATCATCTGCGCCGTGCCTGCTGGCACGGATGTTAGCAACATGTGTTGCAACTTAGGACCTGAGTAAGCTGACATCGCCCATGCATTCTCCTCTTGAAATCTTCGCGTAAACTTGACCATAGAGCCCCTTTTGCATATCATTCCAGAAAGCCTGGCTTAGAGTGTTTTTTTCCGCAAAGGTGGTTTGGATGGCATGCTGTGATGACATCGCTTGGATGGCATGATGTGGTGATGCTGTTGATGTCAGCTTGTCTCTTAGGTCGTCGCGAGGTTGCGTGGCATGAGGTTGTGTCGTTACTCTAACGTATGACGCATGGGGTAAGGCTAGCGGGAGTCGCCACGCATCGCTAAATGGCGCTGCGCAGGTGGATATGTCCTCGGATTTGGTCCTCCTCTGCCTTCGTTTGGCGTGTTCGGTCGAGCCAACTGACCAAGAGCGCGTGGTGCGGACTCGTGTTCCGAATTGAAACCTTCTCGGCGATACTGGCAAGTCCGCATCCTAAGGTGAGCGCGATCCATTGTAAATTTCAATACCACATTTGCCTCATAATGACAACCCTTTCGGTTATATCGGTGTGTCCGAGCGCTGCGCGTGTGGTGCCACGTGGATTTTGGCCTCGACATGCCTGAATCCCGCCACTGAATCGGGCCAGCAGCTAGGGCGAAAGTGTTTGGGTTGCATGACATGGAGCCGCGCGAGGGGTGCCAGGACGATTCGCGCTTGGACAAGTCTCTGAATCCACGACATAGCGAAATCATTTTGGCCGTGCTCCCTGAATCCTGCCAATGCATTGGGGCAAACGTGCTGGTGGCACCACAATTGCGGCGCGTCGTGCGGTGACGATACGTGTTCTGGCGGGTCCCTGTCCTACGGCAAGCACGACGGCCATTAATTTGCATACAAGTTCCAGCAGATTTACCTCACGTTGGCGATAGCCGTCTGGGTGCACGCGAGGGGTCCTGGCGCTTCGCGTGTGGTGCAGCGTTGATTTTTTCGAGGAAGCATTTCATGTCTGCGAATGCTGCCAGTACCTGCGGGGAAGCATTTCGACCGTGCTCTTGAGTCACGCCAGTATTTGAGGGAAGAACTGTGGGCATGCCTGAAGGCCGCCAGTACATGGATCGATGACATGATACCCCAAGGTTTTACTGGCTGGCTTTGCCTCGTTGTTCATCTCAATATCTCAAAGGTCTACAAAACTTCGTTACTCGCGCCAAGGCACGACATGTCCACAAAGTCTATAGGTCTCATCACATACCTCCACAGCAGCCGTCTTCGACACGTCGGGGCAGCAGAAGCTCGCCCCCAAGGTGGCACAAACGAAAAACGACTAGTGACTAGTGGCGAGTGTTCCCACGGAGACCATAAAACGAATTGCAGAAGGGAGGCCCATCCGGAGGAAGCTTGTGGAAGGTCGCCTCAGAGATGAGATTATGGGTGCCGTAGGTCTTGTTCATCTCCTGGCATCAGCTCATGGAATACAGTAGCACGCAGTAGCTGCCGACGTGCATCAAAAATACACAAACACATGCTAAAGGCGGTGAGACGGCCCAAGCTGGGGGTTGGGTATGCCCTGTGCTTGCTTCTGCCGCGAAAGTTTCCCGCGACACGACCGCGAATCGAACAAAATACCAAGCGGCTCACATGACAGTCACGGTAGTCAGATGGTTCTATTGCCATATTGCTTCGACCATCTCTCGGACCCTCGGGTTCAAGGCTCCTCCAACTTCGAGGGAATCTCTGCACCGGCACCTGAAGCGATTCGCGCTAGGCACGGCGATCATGGAGCAGCAATGTTGTCGAAGGGTGTCGAAGGCATGCATAGGAAACAACACTCCCAAGGCGAGTTTCAGCTTCCTGCAGCCTACTATAAACTCTCGAAGGCTTGTGAAAGCCGAAGCCAATCAAAAATAAAAGCTTAGCTAATGTCCGAGGCACCCATGACTCCGTACTTGAGCCGCGAGTGAAAGCCCATATTTCCGACTTGCACAGTGCCAGAATGTACGCCACAGCGGATGCTGACCTGGAGAAGCGGTTGTGTTTTCCTCGGACAACCCATCTTTGTGGATGCACGCCACCCGAAAGCCGATACGCCCTCGTTGGTCTGGAGCCGCTGCTTCGCTCGACGCGGATGGAACATAGCAATCCTCCCTGAAACGCTCTCACGGAACACGACCTCAGACCTTCGAAGAAACACTTTCCCAATATGCTAGATGCTAGCCTCTGGAAGAAGTCGGTGCTTCGCCCACTGGTTGATGCGCTGTACGGTCTTGAGCATCTTCAGCATGGCATTTACACCTGCCTGCGAGGTGTGCTAGAACTGACCGCTAACCAAAGCTCAGCTCAAAGCTTGCGAGCGTGAGCCCTGCAACGAAGGCATGAGATGCGTCACCGGGCCAAGGAACAACCCACTAGGAATGAAGCCACACTGCCAACAGTTGCAAGAGTAGGAAGCAACAGTTTGCCGGGGTGATCGTAAGTTCAATTGGAACAAGAACGAGAAGGTGCTACCTCGGCATGCTCCCGGTTTCGCACTGGTGCACCGAAGACTGCATAGATGGCATCACCGATGAACTCGATGACAATGCCGCCGAACTTATCAATCCTCACCAGGCCAGCGCAGTTTCCAAAGGTGGGGTAAGGGTAAGGGGAATGCGCTGCTTTCATAAGGACTTGCTGGTGACCCACAGTCAAAAACACAGGTAAAACAGCTATAAAAGAAGTAAGGATAGCAACTAGGCGCGTTAAGGGGATCGCGGTGCAAGTAGCTCTTTCCCTGGCCAACTCGGGACCTATTCCACCCGCCAACACACCTAGATGTGGCATGCCAATGCATCCGTCGCTTGCTGCGAAGGCACGCGTTCGTTGTAAGTCTCGAATCAAGTTCGGCAGGGTTCGCGCATGCACGACGGAACATTTGTTCGGCAAGACATTGTTTCGAAAAAAGGCAACAACATGCCTGAGTTTGCGGGCAAGTGACACCTCCGACATGTCGTTGAAGTATCGGCTAAGCAGAAGCAGCGTTTGCTCTGGCTCCAGCTTCTCGACTATACCTGAGCGGTGTTTTGAAGGCCATCGAAAAGGCACACGATGCAAATAACCAATCTAATTTTGCCTGTGTTTGCATCACACGCAAGTACAGTCGAACATGTTGTCTTGGCAGCACAATCACTCTGAGCTCCATGCCCGCGCACCTCACATTCCTACTCAATGGGCTGACTGCCAACTTCAACCAGCAAGAAGAAAACAACACGCTCGGAACATTACCAGGTCCTGGGCTAACAATTGAAACGAATGTTCAGGTTGGCATTACGTTGCCGTAGCAGTGTGGGTCTTGCGGAGGTAGTAGTGGGGCCAACGGAGGAGCGACTCGACCAACAAGAGTGGATGTCTTCGGGTAAGTCGTCCGCGGTGGAGTCGAGGCCGAGGAGGATCGAAGAAAACTTCGTCGACGAGGGTGTTGATTCCTCCAGATCGCTGCCGGGGAAAATAGCTGTAGGTCACGGACGAGTGTCCATGGCTTCGACAGCGAAGAACGTTGCAAGAAATGCACAGCTCTGACATCCCGCTCCTACAGAAACAGAAATACTACGAGAAAACGATTGCGGTTAGGTCTGGCCCGCCTGATCACCACTGGACGCCCAAAATTTAGGGGCTTACACGTGTTATCGTCAGTTGACATGTCATGTCTGTGCTGCTGGAGGCAGTGCATGAGTGTTCAGTGACTTCGCAGGCACTTTCATGGCCGAAAGGAGAAACAGTGCTAGGGTCGCACTGCTCAGCTGCTACCAACATTGGTTGCGGAGCAAAGGCTCCAGCTTCCTAAGGAGGAAGCGCTACCATCCTCCGAGGCCGGAGGAGTGTTTAGGGGACCCGGTGTCCCAGAAGGGCCTCTTCCATGTCCGAGCCCAGCCGTGGAGGACTGCGCTACTTCAATGGTGATGATACAGTTGATTGGCGTGAGTATCGGAGGTGGAAGATGTGGTGCATGAACAAGTTCTTGGGGATGGACAAGCTTCCCAAGAGGCAGGAATTGGCCAAGCTGCAAAAAACCCGGAAGTTCATCCAGGCGGGAGACCTGCAAAGGTCTTTCCGCATGGAGGTTGAGGAACTCAAACGCAAGACGAAGTGCAACCGATGCGGACAGGTAGGACACTGGGCCCGGGAATGCCGGGCGAAACTGCCGGGTGGATCTGCGTTGGCGGCCAGCAGCCAGCCGACCTCGGCGGGACTCGTGCACCGTGAATGAGGCGGGCCAGTCTGGGCCAGTACGTGGTTCCGGTGGCCGAGTTCGCGGTGGATGAGGCCTCGATGACGACCGCGCCGGCCGAGGATCGAGATGATGATCCGATGCCAGGACCCCATGGGTGTGCTGCGGTTATAGAAGATAGTTGGGTTTGCCGAGAGGATGGCCGACAGGTCATTCGCAAACACGTGGTCCAGAGGGTTGACGCGTTTACGCCTTGTTCTGAGGGATGTCCGGTTGATGTTCGGAGGTTAGAGGATCACCGGGAGACTCATGCCACGGGGTTGCCTGTGATAGTAGATAGCCGGAGGGACGCTCAAGTCTTAACTGGCGCATCGGAACATCTCTGACTGAGGAACCCTGGACGGGAGAGACGGTGTTTCTTGTCCGGCAGGAGCCTCCAGCTGTGCCATCTGAGGATACTGTTCCTGAGGATCCGGAGCACGAAGTGCAGATGTGCGAATGGACCGCACACCAACGGCGGCAAGTCAAGTCTGCTGTCCGTCGCCCCCGCAAGAATCCCAGGCGCCAGAACCTCGCGTTCACTGTAAGGATTGTTGAGGTGTTTTCTCCTCCACGGTTCGCCTTAGAAGGGATCACTAGGGGTTTCAAGTGTGCAGCAGCTGATCTGGTGACTGGCTGGGATTTCCGCATAGCTGCCGTGAGAGATCAGCTCCGAAGCTTGATTCGGGAACAGCGCCCTGAATTTTCTGGTATAATTGCTCCCCCGTGCACGTGGGCCGGAGGTTGGTATGATCTTAATGGCTCCCATCCTTTCCCCGAACAGCGTCGAAACAAGGAAGTTTTAGTCAGACTGTTCATGAATTTTGCTGCCGAGCTGGTCGAATGCCGGCTAGAGCTCGGAGGCTGCGTTTCTGCGCAGATTTACCAGCACTCCCGCGCCATACAGACTCCTTGCTGGAGTGCCCTCGCCGAGCGGCTGCATTCTGTAGAGCTGGACCTGAGTCACTTTGGCATGGTTGATGCACAGGGCAAGCCTCTCTGCTATCCGGTGCAACTTCTTGTTTCGCACGCCAACATGAAGGTGTTGGCCAAGCAGTGTCCAGGAGAGTCCCAGCCGGGAGTTCTGCAAAGGCTCCATAACACTCAGGCTAAGCGTCAGCAGAAGCTTGTGCATCAACTGAGTGCCCAGCCTTTGCCGAAGTTTGTCAAAGCCGCGCTGCGTTGTGTCAAGGGGACTTCTCCGTTTTGGGACCTGCGTTTTTCAACATGCCACAGACCACGAATGCCTCGTGGCAGCCCCTGTGCAAGAGCTGAATGAGCAGCGAAAGGAAGAGATGGTCACCAGCTTGAAGAAGTTGCATGCCAATCTGGGCCATCCAACGACGAAGGCAACCCTCATCCGTGTGCTCAAAAATGGTGGCGCCAACCAGGCGGCTCAAGACCTGGCTCGAGACCTCAAGTGCGAGCTATGCGAAGCTAAGCGTCAGCCACGCCCGGCCCCGATGTCACAGACACACCGTGTGACCGAGTTCAACCGTAGAGTAGGGCTAGATATAATATAAAGTATCTTCCAGGCTGGCAGAACAATCAGAAAATCCCCTGTGTCAACATCGTTGACTATGCTAGCTCGTATCAAGTGGTAGTGCCGCTGCCCGGTCCTCGCGAGACGGGCGAACTGATCCGCCAAGCATTCCAGGAGCGATGGGTAGTATGGGCGGGTCTGCCGTATGAGCTGGTGATAGATCCGTCACAGGCAAACTTGAGCGAAGCATTCACCACTCCGCAGGAACTCGCCGGTGTGACGATTGCCACCACGGCTGCCGAGGCTCACTGGCAGCTAGGTAAGGTTGAGGTGCACGGTGGGTGGTTTAGTCGGGTTCTTCAAAAAAGGTGATAGACGAGTGTGCGCCTGATTCTCGTGCCTCTTGCGCAGAGTGTGTCGTTGCCGCCCATTGCAAGAACGAGCTTGTGCAAGTTTATGGAATGACCCCGGCCCAGTTCGTGTTCGGCAGAAATCCTAGAGTACCCAGCAACCTCCTAGAGGTAGTTCCAGCGACGGCTGCTGCGTATGAAGAAGCTGTAGCTCGCAGTGTGGCTCTCCGCCAGGCTGCCCGCAAAGCGTTATCGACTCCAAGACGACAAGGCCCTCAGGCTGAGCCTTGCAGCTCGCCCTCGGGTTCTCGAACACTTTGCACCAGGCTCCATGGTTGCTTACTGGAGAACGCAGAAGAGTCAACAAGGTGTCATAGTTCGGGGTGGTCGTTGGTATGGTCCGGCTGTTGTCTTGGGGTATGTAGGCAAGAACTTAGCGGTTGCGCATAAGCGGCAGATCTTCAGATGTGCCCCCGAGCAAGTGCGCAAGGCCACGTCTGAGGAAGAGTGCCTCGCTGACACTCCCCATCTCAATGCCTTGACAGGTCGCCAATATGTGGACCTTGCCTCGGACGAGTTGCCTCCTAGTGCCAAAGTAGGTGACCCCATAGCACTTCTAAGAGCTGACCTCAAGTGACCCCGTAGGACCGCGTGCTCAAGCAAGCGGTGAAGGCTGCATCCAGCCTGACCGAGGTGCGCCTCGCGGCGCAGCTCCCCAGGAAGATGCCGGCGGGGTTGAGCAGGGTTCGCTTAGCGGGTCTTCGGAGGGTAGCTCTCAGGGAAGTTCTGACAGTGCTGGTTCACAACTGTATGCTGCAACAACACACCGTGCATCCGAGCCTTCACAGCCCGAAAACTATGGCCCGGTCAGTCGTGTGCATGGCTAGAGAACCCCAGCATCCCAGGGTTCTGAGGCTCAAGGGTCCAATGATAGGTTGCATCGTCCCTAAGCTATGCTCCTAGATGACTTTGCCGAGATGATGGGTGAGATCCTTCTCGAGTTGGTAGCCCAAAAGCCTGCAAGAGACTAGTTCAGCCCAAGAATCCCAACCGGCTGCTCTCGAGGAACAGCCGGCGCTGAGCCACGAAGCGCGAGGCCCCGTCTGGCGAGGGCCAGGAGCGTTTCAAGAGACCGTAGTCGCGAAGCTGCCATGGTTCGTCGCAAGGTTCCTGATAGGGTAATGGGTTCTAGGTACGTGATTACGGTGAAGCAGGAAGAGGACGAGCCGGCACGAATCAAGGCTAGATGGTGCTTACAGGAACACCTGGATCGCGATTTGCAGAAGAAGGCCTTGGCAGGAGACCTCCAGTCTCCCACACTTTCACAAGTAGGCCGTTCTGTCATTTTCCAGTTGATTGCCTCACACCGTTGGGTTTTACAACTAGGGGATATTAAGTATTAAGGGTGCCTTTCTGTCATCGGGAGCTCTGCCTGCAAGCTGCCGGCCGCTCTATGCGAGATTGCCTCCTGGAGGTATTCCTGGAGTGCCGCCAGATAGCCTAGTAGAGGTGCTAGGACATGTTTATGGGTTGAACGACGCAGTGTCGACCTGGCAAAAGACACTCAACCAAGCATTGCTGGATGTGGGGTTCGTCGAGAGCAGGTTTGACCCTGAGGGAAGATAGTATAGTGGCAACTTGGTTGGGGTTTATGGTGTGCACGACTGCTCTACCAGTGGCTCTGGTCCCAAGTATGAAGAAACTCTTGAGAAGCTTCGCCAGCGTTTTGAATTCCGTAAGTGGCGAATTGCCGATGGCGACTTTTGCGGTGCCAGATGCCGTCAGGACCGTCGTCTTGCGCCATCACCATGACACAGGAAGGGTTTGTGGAGAAGTTAAGACCTCTTAAGCTAAGTCGTGGTAGGCAGGCCCAGAAGTCGTCCCCTCTGACAGTGGATGAGATCCGCTGTCTTCGCGCCATCAACGGTGGCCTGAACTGGCTGGCGACGCAGTCGCGGCCGGACCTCTCAACCCATCCTTTCACAGCAATTCTTTCCCGAACCCACTGTTGGTGATGCCGTTGCTGCCAATAGTGCAATCCGCACTGCCCGTCAGAATGCTCAGCTAC